CCAAGGCTAAAAAAGGCATCCAGCTAGATGAATTAATGGTCTTCACTTGTCATTTCAAAACCCTTTACAAGAAACATTGTTCTAATCATCAAGAGGTATTTTGAGACTTAAAGCCGAATAGTGAAAGGATAATATAAAGAAAACTTTATCATTCAGATCTGAATATCAAAATTAAAAGATAAAGCTATGCTACATAACCCATATTTCGTGTTTATGACATCAATTCTAGCTTTTGTTTTCTTCTTTTTTTCTTTATTCTACCATCATATGATTTTTGCAATACTCATATGCCTTTAAACGAATTTTCAGACATTGGAGGATCAGATATGCCTAGCTGAGGATAATTAAGACACCACAAATAAGAAAATAAAACATTGATTTTATATTACTTTACTGAAACCAATCAGTACTCGGCCAAGAATAACGGTGGTCTCAATTACAAATTAATTACCGGACATTTAATCGCTCTTGTGATGTTAGTAACCGAACCACAATTAGTAGGTAACAAAGATTTACTGGCAAGCATACCAAGGTTAGAGTAAAGAGTGTAAGATTAAATAGAATAATGAATAAATGGGCAGGAAAGTATACATGAAATTTCATTAAGTACGGATAACGATAAATATGATGAACTCAATGTTAACAAGACATTAGTTTCAGTACTTTTTAACCTACAGGACGTGACTGAAGACTAAAAATCGATTAAAATAGTGTCAAAGACTGTTGTACTTACTCTAAATGCAAATTCGACTGAGGAAATTGCGTAAGAAGAGAATGAGGAGGGGTCCATAACTCGAAACATCTCTGCAAACAGAAAAAATGACGTTAAGACAAATATGAGTTTACCTAAAAGGATTTTATATTATGAATAGCTAGACAAAATGCTATGATACTTTTAACCCAACTGAGGTAAGATGATTGAAACGAATGTATGAAGAATTTAATTGACTACTACAAATAAAAACTCGATGATAGCGCTTTGCAGTTATCATTAGATACATTTAAATCGTACGAGAAAATAGGCCTGCTTTTAAAGTAATTCAAAACAAAACAGATTTCTATTTTAAATCTAGTTACTGAATACATTATATAATATTACAAGAGAAATCATAATGAGAAGAAACTACCAACATCAGGAACGGAAATACAAACAGAAATTATGATATTTAAAACAATAATATGGCTGTAAGGTTAGTATAGCTAGAGCGATTATGGCACTATTAACTAATTAGTCTTATATGTTCCATTTTCTGATTTTATTGCAGAGATTAATAATAAAGTGATGACAAAGGAAATGCGTACCATAAGTAGGATTGCCAACCGTCCTTTAAAATACGGAATCGTCCAGTATTTGGAAACTTAAATGATACGCCA